CGCCCGCCAACCGCCACCACGAATGGAGACCGTTCCTGACGCTCTAATCGATTCATTTGCTAAGCAAATTATGAAGCGAAGGGATTGGTATGAAGCGGCCGTGATGCTGCATGGATATATGAGTACACATATGCAGCCGTACCTTCGGTAGCGGTTATTGGCAAGATGCCTAGGGAAACTCGTCCAAAATTGATTCAGTGAACACAAAGAGAACGGAGGCTCTTTCTTCGCAGGATTTTGACCGTTTCACTCCGTTCTTTCGCCATTTCCCACTATATAGCGCCTACTAGCATTTTAGGCCGAGCACCAAATCATCGTGCCAACTGCCTTTGGAAAGCAAAGCCCGCGATCACTGCCCATCACAGATAGTGGAGATACGGGGTGTTGGGCATCTAGTCGACAAAGTGGCAGAATTAACTTCGATAGGAAGAAAAAGAAGAATAAAACATGCTAAATGCCCTGAATAGACGCCCGATTGCCCGATATCAGTTTGTACGTGCCCCCAATTAAATCCATCTGACACTACTTGTCATCCGCACAGCTGATCCCCCATAGGAACTCTGCGACCGTACGAGTGAAGAATTTCCTGCTTTTTCGTCCTGCGCTTCGTTTTTCAGCTGAAAGGCGAGCCTTGAATTCGAGTTCAGGAGGGCGAAGTCACGATAGAAAAAAGGAGGCGTGCACGAAGCCTATACAATCCTCATTATTACGGACTGTGTCCGGCTGCGTTGTCAGTGCGGGTTGCGTTTGCGCGGTACGAGTCGTTCTGTCTGGCACGCAAGTGTTGAAGCGGGCAAGTGACATTGTTGTTATATATCCCTTCGTATTATATACTCCGTTTATCGCTCCACCACTTTTTGTCGGCGTAACGCCGCTTTCAACAGAAAGGCTGAGACGGCTTCAACAGCGGCCGCACTCCTGGGCTGAAGACGCCTGAAGTCCGTAATGATGAGGACAATAATTGCGCTAGGACTCCCTCCCTTATTTTTGCGTCCGAACCAGGCTACAAAAGTGTGATTGTCGCGGACCACACTACCCTCAAGACGCCATTTTCAACTTCTAAACCTGATCGTTGTCCGTGCCTTTATTGTGGGGACGGAAATGAACTCGTGGGCTGACAGCCTTTGATGGGATTCAAGCAGTAAAAGGGATTGAACGCTGTTTTGTTCGGCTGGCGGTAATCCCAGCTATTGTTTCGCGCGAGTTTGATGCCTTCTCCAAGGTTACTAAGCGGCTGATTCCTGTGCACGAAGTGAGCTCGTCGTCCCCAGTCCATTCAGTGAAGAAAGGGCTAGCATGGATTGAGATTTGTGGCAAGCCAGTAGGATCTAGGCAAGGATTGTGTGGACACAGCGCTGTCAACTTGCGTTCGACATGCTGGTACGTCACTGCCACAGTTTTCGCCCAAAACATACGTCCGTCAAGCGAGAGGGGGGGGGTAGCAAAGGGGTTGTCACCAACATGCTGCTGGACAATAGTGGTTGTGCAGGTAAGTTACACCAACTAGGACGGAAAGTTGTGGGAGGATACAGGCGCGTGATGGGAAAATATCAAAGGAAGGAAGAAAAACTTTTCTTCGGGGTTTAGAAAAATGTCTTTCAAGTGTTACTATGAAAGCGCCTCTTCCCAAATAGCCAACTGTGAGGCAACCGATGAGATTCCTCGCAGAGACGTACTGTAAAGCCTCGGGATAGGAATTTATTTCCCTGTCTACCCCAGCGAGATATCGCAAAAACCACAACTTTGCTTCAAATGGCCTTTACAAAAGTGCTTCTTGGATTTATCAGTGTCATGGTGCATAAGGAAGAATTTTTTGAGAAATGACGAGTCATAACTAAATATATTCCTGTGAATTGCCAGACTGGAATCTTGCATCTTGGGGAGCACGTGCTCAAATCCCATCTGTTTCTGTTTTGGCGCGGTTTCATAGCTGGATCAAAACCTTATGGACGGAAAGGGTATCTACCTAGCGGCCGCTAGAGACAGGCTTAAGAGCTCCATAAGAAGAGCCGCTAACTCACAAATCTTTCCTCTAGCGTATTGGGTAAGTCTCTACGGAACGGAAAAACATTCACTATCATTAATCTGGAATTTAACCGCATGTAGCCGTCCGCAAAAAAGGAGCAGCAGTTGGTGTAGTCTTCTTGGTTTCGCCTAGTTATCATCATCTGTCAAAACCCTTGTCAAGATGAACCTTCACAATATGAGATGGTGCAGCTTGATGAGGAACAACGGCTTTCTGAGCATTCAATGTTAGAGAAAACCTTTGGTGTGGGTGCTGTCCGGATTATGGTGCGGCTGAGGGGGGGGGGGGGGGGGGCTTTTGCTGTCCGGTGTATACGGTATAGGTATAGCCTAGAACATTGCTCTTCCAATTACTGGTTGTCTTCAAACTACCTCTTGCTAGGACGAGTAATACTGTACGATCCGAGCTCCGGATTCGAACTGATATCCCACGGTGCGCTGCACAGGTTGTATTCTGGGCAGGAGTTGAATGCCGTTAGGTGTCCAAAGTCTAGTGGCGGAGCGCTCGCAACAACGGGTGACGGATATGTTACTCTGATATTTTCGGTGTAAAAACATCTCTTTATCCCGAAAATATGAAAGAACCCTCCCGGCAGCCTAATATCTATAATTTGGCTCCAAGAAACACAATTAGTTCCCTTTATGTGGCAGGGTGGCTCAGCGAATTACTCTGCAAGAGCCTGCCGAAGATAAACGGAAATGACAATACATAATAATATAAGCAATGTACAAGTATAACATTAATTAAGGTGAAAATAAACAATCAAATATTCAACCAAATAATATAACTTAAAAGTGAACCTACGTCACGAGTGCGTCAGTGGTAGAACGGATGAAGCCCCCAACAATCATGTTAGCCCTCGTTCTCATGCAAGGGGGTCCCCTTCGTCAGACCGTCAGTCACGACTGGAGACGTAGGCTCAGGATTGCCGCCAGATACAGTACCTCGAGATACTGTAGCTTTTACGCGACATGGAAGGAGCGCAGGCGTTGATAAATAAGAAAATCGATAATTGATTTCGCAGACCAATCATGTCAGACCGGCTTTAGAAACCGAATTGTTAGAAATACAGGAAAAGTAGAAGACCAGCTGGTCTTAGCTTAAGCTGAAGCTAACTATCTGCTGAGCTTTTAGCAAAGTTTCATTTTATCGAGTTTTCAGAGTACCAGTGGAATGAATTGTTTAGTTTGTATGGAAGATGAACCCCCTAGGAGGGAGAACTAAAACTAGGGAAAACTCGTGAACAAAAAAAATTCAAAAGTTGAAGTCTTGGAATAAACCGGATTGCGGAGAAAGCCATGAGCGCGGCCAAAGTCTGCTCACCAAAGGACAGAGATTAGGCCGCTAATCGCCACTTACATAGAGGCCTCTAAAGCTTCAACTGTCCAGTAGTGGTAGTTTCTGGAAGTCGTTACAAAATGACCTACTCAGCAGTCGATATTCGAAAACCTGAGCCAAAACATTCGTAAAAAAAGGCAGCTAATGTGGAAGGCAGCTGTGTGAGGACACCACAAATGGCAGTCTGCTCCCGCTTATCGATTTCTTCCCTCACCACTACAACATCCTAATACGAGAGGTTTCTATAATACAGTACAGTTTTCTAATAAGTAGAACTGTCAAGCAACTTATTTCCTGGCCGAAATCCTTGTGCGGTTGATCAACCGTAATCCGCCTATTCTACAGTCTTCGACAGTAAGCTGCCTGCAATCAGCACGCTCCAATGCGAGACTTACGCGCCGCCGCCGCGCGCATTGAAAATCAGGTTAGCTGAGTATCTGCGCTTCATCACGGAAGTGCGCACGCAGTCTAATTTCCAACTTAATTTCCCGGTGTTTCTCCTAAAATTTCTTCTTCTTGTTGTATGACCTTCCTTTGAATTGTTTTTTGCAAGGATAAAAAAAACAAAAAAAAACAAAAAAAAAGGGGTGATTTTGTGAGCGATTCCTAGCAAACAAGGGTCTCATCATAATAATTACTGGATTGCGATGCCGGGCGAAGCGGATCATCTATGCTTTGGAGTGTATTCTTTTCCCTATTTTTTCCTTTGTTTCTAATTATATAAGTTTCGTTGTGTATTTGAGGTGCTAGTAGTATAATAACTTTCTAGTTAACAGTGGGATATTTTAATAGCATACTTGGGTTTTTTCCTTCCATTTCAGCTTGAGTGATGCTAGGCTCTGTCGTGATGTTCTTCATAATTCCCTCTTCTATTGTTTTCATAGTTGGTCTTCTGTCCTTTTATCTTGACTTTTATGCTAAAGAAGCTCCTTTCTGGAGAGTTTTATTGTTCGCCATTATTATTTTACTTAATTCATTTGTTTGTTAGGGTTCCGGGATTCTTGCCATGAGAAATTACTAGGAAATGGGTTTGTCGGGAATTTATTGCTTACAGAGCTCGCTGTAGCAGTAAGAAAAAGCGCTCGTTTGGCATGCTGCCTTCCACCTTTGCCTCAAGTACGACTCCCTTCAATTAGGAAATATTACGTGACCTATCCCTTCTTTTCTCCATGTTCCCCCCCCTCCTCTCCAAAACCGTCATTCTTCGACCGGTTGGGCAGAAAGTTGGGGAGGGATTGTCGCCAAAAAGCCGAATACTACTACCATCCGTTGCGACCCCCCCCCCCTTTCCCCTCGTCTACGATTCCTTAAACGAGGCACGTCCTTCTTCTTATCCCGACAGTGATGACAATGGATTCATTTCTTATGAATTGATTGCTTCTTTCGTAATGCTTTGCAATCTCCCAACTGTTGGAATACACTTTTACCAAGTCCGGAAGCTCTGGACTCTGGAAACTGCTGCTTGCTAGGAACTGTATTTTCTTGGAAAAAATCGCTTATACTCTTCCTTACGTTCACTTCTTCAACTTCTTTCCAATTGCTTACCTATTTATGCTATTTGGCGTCGCGCAGGCTTCTCTATTAACTTATATTACAGTATTTTTTTGCTTTATTTTCCTTTCTAGGGTGTCAAACAATGGGTCGTCGGATCCGAGTCCAGCGTAAAGGAGCTGGAGGTATTTTCAAGTCACATAACAAGCATCGTAAGGGAGCCGCTCAATTGCGACCTCTTGACTATGCTGAGCGTCACGGCTATATTCGTGGTGTTGTCAAGGACATCATCCACGATCCTGGACGTGGTGCCCCTCTGGCCATCATTGCTTTCCGCGATCCATACAAGTACAAGACCGTAAAGAGCACCGTTTGTTGCTGCTGAAGGAATGTACACTGGACAGTTCGTGTACTGCGGCTCGAAGGCGTTTTCTCAATATTTACTTCATTTTTTTTGTTGTGTTTTTCATTTGTTATTTTGATGATCCTGAAATAGAAAGGAAGTACAGTAGCGTATTGGCGACATGGCGTACCAGTTCGGCCGCGCCTCTGTATCCTCCCTAAAAAAGTCTCAGGCTATAGTGTAGACGAAGATCGAGAGATAGTTCGGCAGAGAAGCATAGGTCCGACCCCCCCCCCCCCTGGAAGCTAAGGCATTGTCACAGGGGGAGGCCTAACGGGGGGGGGGGAAAACCCTGACGAAACGGCGTTAGGGCCGAAAATCAAAAAATAGTCAATCGACGGCAGGAAATCGGCCACCGGTATGGTGTCGACCGAACCGCCCGCGGTTGAGCGGTTGCGACGAAAAGCAGATAGATGTGTATCGATTTCGCTGGCGAAAAACGCCACGGCGATCGAGCTAGCGTTTCGTCGAAGGCGAAAAACGTCGCGGTTTGGCGAAACGCCCGTCGATTCGTATCAAAACCCTTTCGCCCAACCGCCAGACTCTTCGCCCAACCGCCAGTCGATAATATCGAAGCAGTTTCCTCCGAAACCGCGCGTTCCAGAGGAAACGGTGGACCGCAGCTCTGTTGAACAATGCTAAGCTTCCTCAGGGGACAGATGCGCAGCGTACTGCCGGAGTCGGTGCCAGCACGTGCAGTTAGTAGCCTTAATTTGAATACTTACGATAATTCTGATTGCTCTACCTTCTGAAGAGCGGCACATGTGTTTATGTACTGCCATAGTGCACGGCATGATCTTTTTGTAGCCTTGCTTTGAAAAGAATTATCTGAATAATGCACGTAAACATTGGAGCTGTACACGGTTGAGTGGCTTTATCGTGATGGCGCCAGTTCAACGGAGATACCTTCATATTCACTGCATTGTCGTACTTCAAGACTTCCTGTTTTTGGGCTGTTCCTGTTGTGTCGGGGCACTTGGTGGGTTAGCGTGACCCAGAAGGAGAAGGATTCTTGTCGGACCTGCTGTGAGGGAGCTTCGGGTTTTGGACGAGTGGATTCCTTTGGAGGAACGTCATTTGTCTTGGTTTTATACATTGTGTACTCTGCATCAAAAAACTCACTTTAATGGAATACCACCATTTTTTCGTCTCAGGATATCTGTCAACGCATAGCAGACTTTCCTTTGTTTCCTCCTTCATTTATTCTTCGTCTTTCCTTCCCTTCTCCTTATGGTCCTCTCTTTGAATTCACGGCGGAAAGACGGAGAATGCCCCTGGACCTTCCAAACATGGAGTATCTATTGCATAACAAGTAAATAGGGTTGTAATGTCAGAACGTGTAGAACTTCTTCCAGGCTCACGGAGATATTTAAGTATAGTAGTAATGAACAATTGTATGCACCATGTTGCATTTTCTTATTTTAGAGAGCGTTCATACACTGCGACAGCGTTTTCAATGTTTCATCGTTTTAAAAGTTTCAAGCGCTTTGAGGGCCTAGGAAAGTTTAGGTATCGATCCAGCGTTTTGAGCGTCCACCAGCGCTTTCAGCGGGAATCGATACTTATACTTTCTATGTGGATGGTGGAAGCGCTGGATCGATCGCTATACTTTGCTTTTCACTCAAAAGCCTGACGCAAAGTATGAACACACACTTGCTGCGGTCACAGTGAACCTTGTTCGTACATGGCACAGGGTTGGAGAACAGCGAACTGCGTGTGCGAAGAGAGGCGGCCGATTTCGTTGATATCTTCTGCGCGAATACTGCTGAATTGATGCGTATCCGACTCCTTTCACGTAATTTTCCATTGACAATCACCTTTCTGTCTTTTTTGGTTTCTCTCTTAGATACCGCGAAATTCCAACTCCAAAAGGAAGGTATGCATTTTCCCCTCGAATTTTCCAAATTTTCAACGGTTTTGTACATTAGCAGTGCTCTGTGTACCATGATCTATTTACAGCGATCGCGAAAATGCATAATTGAAGTTTGCTCTTTCGAATAGAACGCATATATAATGAACCAATCATTTTTCTGCGCTCATCTGTTTTTTTCTATAGGGTTTTATTTCATAAAAAATAATTTCTTTGTTTTTATTCTGCCCACTTCATAATCCGAATTCCTCTTCAGCTAGCGTACAAGTTGGAAATATCGTGCCTGTTGGAAGCCTCCCAGAAGGAACCACCATCTGCAATGTTGAAGGAAAGTGCGGTGATAGAGGAAAGCTGGCCAAATGCTCTGGTTTGTTTTATATTCGTCTATTGTCTAGCTTGCAAAAAGTCCTCAATCCATGGTATCACATAAACTTCCATCATATAGGTGTCGTAATTTCTGGAACAGCTAACCTAGGCTTCACAGGCTTAGTGTTAATTCAGAAGGAATAAGCTTGTATCTGGTTTCATGTTTTTTTTCGCGCATTTAGGCCTGGAGGGGGCATTTTCCTGGTTGTCGTCGATCACTACCGATGCCTCTTGTGGAGATGCGTAATTTCTCGTAAAGCTATGCAAAAGCAAAAGCTTCGTTAGCACTTGACAAGAGTCTGGGCAGAATGAAGCTTGAAATTTTAGCAGAAACTAGCAAAAGTGCAGAACGCTCCCCACCCTGCACCCGCGCAGAACAGAACCTCACATCTTTTCTTAATTTATAACTTCATTGAAATGCTGTGAGTTTAAGGTAACTACGCCACCGTGATTGCCCACAACCCTGAGACAAAGAAG